TTACTTGTCCCTCTCTGGTTATTGCTTCCTTCAAGGTTTCAAATTTCGATATGATACACCCGATACAAGGCATATTGTACAATATCTTTTAATGAAAAAGATATAGACAAAAAATGAAAAAAAGGGCAAAGAAGCTTCTTTCCCTTGAAATAAATCTTCTTTCACCCTCAAATGACTCTAAAACTCCAAGCCTCATTCATAGAGTTCTAGATATGTAAAAAAAATGCAAGAAACAAGTATGAATTATCAATGCTTTTAAGTTTTTTTTTTCGAATTTTGAAAATTATTATAAAAATAGTTAAGTTTTCTCAAATTTTTATAATATCTTGTGATTTTTTTTTATTTCAATGCTTGAAAATGTTTAAATCTATGATGATCTACATATGTTATATTCAAAATCACATTTTTTTTTGTGTTATGAATAAATTTATGGAAATTTTATGAAGAATATTTGGAAAAAATATAAAATAATAAAGATTGAAAATGTATTTTTCTATCTGCCTATAAAGTAATTGAAATTTATTATTTATTTGTTTTATTTTTACAATTAAAAATAAATAATAATTTATTACATTTTATGATTTAATCACAGGGATTGAATATGTTATAGATTTATGGATAATCTATCATATCCATAGAGCAATTGAAATTTCTTCTTCAATAATTATTTTTTTTTGATATATTATACAATGTTTATTTATTTTTTATTTTTTGTAACTTTTGAAAATAAAAAATAAATAGTAACTATTTAAATAAGAAATAATTACTAATTATGTTTTTACTTAGAAGTTGTGTCAAATGCATGTTTTATGGTTGGATACGACAGTTGGGTTTTTCCATCACTTAAAACTTAAGAACTATATTTATAAATTATAGTTAAGCATATGGTTTTTTAATGAAATTATAATTGACTATGATGTATTTCTTTATAAAACCATTAAAATATATTAATTTAATGTATGTACACCTCATTAATGGCATATATTTGGTGTTATTGATGCAATTTTATGATTTATTGAAGTGTTTATTGTGTTTCCATGCATATCTTAATTTTTCTCTGATACGCATTTGTATCTAAGGCATATCCTGATATGTCTATTAAAATTGTCTTTCCAATCACTTGGTGTTTCCAATACTTTAAACCTTGGCTGCCTTCTTACAATGAAATCATAAAGGTTGCATAAACAATTTTTGTTTTCTAGCACCATTTTTATTGATACTAACAAAAAAAATTATAAGTCCATTTGGTTCACAGTGGGAATCAAAATCATAACCAAAATGGTCCATTCCCATAACTTGTGTGGTTCAAATAGGAATTGGAATAAATTGGAATGGAAATTCATTCCCAAGGGAGGGGGAGGGAATGCCCATTCCCTCAAATCAGGGAATGCCATTCCACTAGAAATGGGAATGCCCATTACCCAACCAAATAATTGGATCGTTCTAATAACAGACCCCTATTCTTGTGAACCAAACAGGCCCTACATTTTTGCTTGAATGCTAAACCCTCGCATAAATGCATTTTACCATGCCACGTTCTCAAACAACCGAAAAGAGTTCAAAGTGGGTCTGGAATCTAGCTCCACCTTGCAATTACTTGAATCGGGTATTTTTTAACTTTGGGTAAATTACAAAGACCCCTGTACTATGGGGTTAGTGACAAAGACCCCCTATACCTTTTTCTACAACAAATACCTCCTGAACTTAAGACCCCCCCCCCCTAGACGAAGTCCCCACTTTCTTCTCCACTGAAGCATCTAGAGCTGCCACCCTCACGTACAGATCTTGGCTGCTGTCCATGATGTATTTCCGAAGATCGATCTGATCACCGATCCAAAACACACAACCGCTTTCCACCTCCGGTGATGTTGGTATTCGCATAAGCTATACAAGAAAACAACTTGCCTGTTCTATATGATATTTAAAATTCAATTTTTAAACCCATCACAGGGTATATGCGTCTTGAAACAACATTTCAGGAACCTAAATTCTTGGAAGACTCGTTGCCTGATTCTGCTCACCTGCTGTTCAAGTCTAGTTCTTCGAAGCCCGATTCAATTTCACTTGATATTGATTATTAAGATTAAGATCATCCCTTGATCCTTACTTTCTAAACCAGTTATCACAATCATTCTTATGGGTTGGTGATCTCTTAACTGATTGCTAATCAACAAAATTGCTATCAGAGATGATGCTCCCACTTCGCTTTCGTCCACCAATTCGATGATTTGAGTTGCCCCTGTTTGGATTGATCTCCATAAATGGATGCACATTTGAATGTCTTTTACATTCATCGAGGTATCCATCCTCCAGCTTTTGTGATTTTTCCTCTTTTCTCTTACAGCTCTTAGAAAATGTTAACGAATTGACAATTGAACAATGCACACCACTCATTGGTTGCTTCTTTGCCTCTTGTAAGCTAAAACTTCCTCTTTCAGTTAGTCCTGAGAAGGAAGAACTTTAACATTGTTTCTCTACCATGGAGACCAGATGAGAGAGTTCAGCTTTTGCAACTTCGAGTCCCACAATTATATGTGGCCAATGTTTCTTGTGCTTTCTCTAGAATTGACTGTAGGTATTTCCATGAGCATCAATCAGTAGTTGCAAGTGTCTTTGCACCTAGAGGAGAAAATTAGATGGTGTTTAGTATCGATGTAGCTTTTGGAAGAAATAGTGTCAATTCAGCATTGGAAATTCGTTTAACAAAAAAATGCCTAAAAAGTTATTTAGTTGAACCATTTATCTGATAAATGATTCTCTTGAAAATCGTGCGAATTGATTGTTAAAAAAACACCAATTTTGACATTTTTCATTTTCAAGACTGATTTTTCATTATTTGGCTTATTGGTGTCTAATGGCATCTAGTGGTGCCTAATGGTGCTGAGGTGTAAAAAAATTGTACAAAACATTTAAAGCAAATTTTGTCTCTTTTTTTAGAACAAAATCTTACAAAACATTTATCTTATAAATGCCATCAATACCAAACAACCTCCTAATTACTGATGTTTATCGTTATTCTTTGCCAAGAATAACTGGCTTTAAAATAAAGCTGGGTTAATGAAAAGCCTATCTCAATCTATTGGAGAAGCTTCTTTTGCACTTCCATTTGCAACTGTAGAGCCTGAGCAATCTGAAAGCTGCTGAGATACATGTATCCATATCAGCTCAATCCTTTGAAATTAAATTTCCTATCGACTATTCAAATAGAGGAACAAAATCTCTTACTCGAACTTGGCTTCCACAACACAACCATCTGACCCATTTCTGAAATCCCAAGCCTATTGGTTCTTGTGTTTGAATCCCTTTACACACAGATTGGCGAAGCGTTGCTGTCGCAAATCCCAAGCCTTCTGGTTCTTGGGCTTGAATCCCCCATTGAAGGGTCATCTGGGCTCTTCCAAGATGTCAGGAAATGATTTAAACCAATCTTCAAGTTCTCCCTCATTGAAGGTTCTTTTTGTAGTACATTCACCATACAGAAAACTTGATATGTATATTTAAGCAACATCGAAGTTCCATTCCGACAACGGCTGAGATTGCAGAAGTATTTTTTGTTGAGAAGTAATGGGGGTATTTCTGGGTTGGGTTTTAAAAGAAAATGGCAAAAAAAAACGAAAATAGAGTAAGTTTAGCAGGGTATTTTGGTAATTTAATAATTTTTGTTATCTGACTTAACAACTGAGGGGTTATTTGTCTTATGGCTTGTCACTGACCCCCATAATACAGGGGGTTTTTATAATTTACCCTTTAACTTTTTACATTTGAAACCTACGGAAATGCATTTGAATCGCTACTATACGCAGCCTTAATAAGTTTCCCTTGACTTTCTTGTTTACCTCTATTTTCCATCAAACCAAGTGGGTGTTCTATTTTTAGATTTTGAGAGGGGGATCCTATTGACCAAGAATCTTATGTTCATTTTTCAGATTTATGTGGGAACAAGTAAAAATTTATTTTTTTGGGTAAGTGATACCCATCTCCTATGTGGGTAAATAACTTTTTTAGGAAAAATTGCTAACAATTGAATGGGACAAAAGTGCCCCTTTTAATAATGGATTTTTATGGTTAAAATGGTCATTATTTTATTTACATAGGAAATAATAGAGCATGGGTAAATGCACTTACTCGGGTAAGTGTTTCCCAGCAGGGTGTTCACAGGTCGGATTGGGTTGGTTTGAGTCATTTTCTTCAACTGACCCAACCTAGTCGGTTTACTTATTGACTAAACCGAAACTAATTGACCTTGAAGCAAAATCGACCCAAACATGAGGGTCAATTTGGGTCGGTTTATCGATTTAGTCGGCTTTTAGTTTTTATATATATTTTAAACTAAAATATTTATTTATTTTTAAGTATTTCTTTTTAGTTTTTATGCAAAATCAAAACATATATTTAAATCAATTAATTTTTATGCAAAACTGATTTTTTTGTCAATATATATTTAAATTTATACAAAACTGAATTAAATATTGTACCATTATATTATATTTGTATTGGTTTTACATTTTTAGTTTTTATCATAAATAATCAATTTTTTTTCAAAATTTAAACAAAACACAAATAAAATATATCAACATTTAACATATAGAAACTAATTAATAATTACTTTAAAGATATAGGATCCATTCGATTTCTATTTTCATACATAAAAACCAAAATCGAATCAAATTGTGAATTTATTTTCTCATACAAATCGAAACCAATCCTTTTAACCTACTCGAATTGAGTCGGGCCTTGATCGATTTGACATTTAATATAAACACCCTCATTTCCCAAGAAAAACTTAAGCAGATAAATTGCATTTAGGTCGATAAGTAACTTACGAAAAGCGAACGGGCCCAAATGTAAGTGGAGAGAAAATGATGGCAATTCAATAAATACAGCAAAACGAAAGGGGCAATCGAAGAACTTTCTGGATGCAAGACTTTCCATGAACTCCAGAAGCGGGAAATAAAACGAAAGGGACAACAACTGGTGGAACATTCTGGATTTTGAAAACTAAAATACCTCAAACTGTTGGAAAAAAATGATAGAAGACTCTAGAAGCGGGAAACAAGACTTTCCATAGACTCCACATTCATCGCAGTGTCGCACTCACAGTCTCACCCGAAAGAGAAGACACCAGAAGCTTTAGATCGGATATAAATATACTCTATCCTGCTTCGTCTTCCATCTTTCTCTCGCGAAACGTCGCCTGTGCTCTGTTTTTGAACAAAACCTTACCTTTTTTCTTCTTCCCCATTCCCCAATTGAAACAGTCTTTTCTTTCAAACGTCTGAGTTTGATCCGTCTGAGTAGCAATGGCGGATGTTCAGATCGGAGATGCGGAGACCTTCGCTTTCCAGGCTGAGATCAACCAGCTACTGAGCTTGATCATCAATACCTTCTACAGCAACAAGGAGATCTTCCTTCGAGAACTCATCAGCAATGCCTCTGATGTGAGTGATCGCCTTCTCTGTTTCCACGACTAACGTTTGATGTCTACTCGGGCTTTTGCCTTTTGAGTTTGCTCATTTCTGTTTTTGTTTGTTTCACGCAGGCGTTGGACAAGATCCGTTTTGAAAGTTTGACGGATAAGAGTAAGCTTGACGCGCAGCCGGAGCTCTTCATTAGGCTTGTTCCTGACAAGGCCAACAAGACCCTTTCGATCATTGACAGTGGCATCGGGATGACCAAAGCAGGTAGGAAAGCGAGGGATCTACGTTGAAGGTCTTGCTTTGATCTGCATTAGGATACGGGTTTTAATTGAAATTGTTCACGGCAGATCTGGTCAACAACTTGGGGACAATCGCGAGGTCAGGAACCAAAGAATTCATGGAGGCATTGCAGGCAGGGGCCGATGTGAGCATGATCGGACAGTTCGGTGTGGGGTTCTACTCGGCTTACCTTGTTGCCGAGAAGGTCATAGTGACCACTAAGCACAACGACGACGAACAATACATCTGGGAGTCACAAGCTGGTGGATCCTTCACTGTCACCAGGGACGTCAATGGAGAACAACTGGGCAGGGGAACTAAGATCACACTTTTCCTCAAAGAAGATCAGGTAGGATATCTGTCACTCCATAGTTAATATATATATTATCGAGAGTTGGTTTCTAAGTTTTATGTTGCTGGCTTTTCTGGCATCGGAGCTAAAGTGTGGTTATACTTTGTTTTCTTTAGTTGGAGTACTTAGAAGAGAGAAGGTTGAAGGACCTCGTGAAGAAACATTCCGAGTTCATTAGCTATCCAATCTACCTCTGGACCGAGAAGACTACCGAGAAGGAGATAAGTGACGACGAAGACGAGGAAACGAAGAAAGAAGAGGAGGGTGATGTCGAGGATGTTGACGAGGACAAACAGACCAAGTCCAAGAAGAAGGTTAAGGAGGTGTCCCACGAATGGCAACTCATCAACAAGCAGAAGCCTATTTGGCTGCGCAAGCCGGAGGAGATCACAAAGGAGGAGTATGCGTCTTTCTACAAGAGCCTGACCAACGATTGGGAGGATCATCTTGCCGTCAAGCACTTCTCTGTGGAGGGGCAGCTTGAATTCAAGGCCATTCTCTTTGTGCCGAAGAGAGCACCGTTTGACCTCTTTGACACGAGGAAGAAGATGAACAACATCAAGCTCTACGTCCGAAGGGTATTCATCATGGACAACTGCGAGGAACTCATCCCCGAGTACCTGGGATTCGTCAAGGGTGTTGTGGATTCTGACGATCTGCCACTCAATATATCTCGTGAAATGCTCCAACAGAACAAGATTCTCAAGGTCATTAGGAAGAACCTGGTGAAGAAGTGCATTGAAATGTTCACCGAGATTGCTGAGAACAAGGAGGACTATGCCAAGTTCTATGAGGCGTTCTCTAAGAACTTGAAGTTGGGTATCCATGAGGACAGCCAGAATAGGGCAAAGCTGGCTGAGTTGCTGAGGTACCATTCTACAAAGAGCGGTGATGAGTTGACGAGTTTGAAAGACTACGTGACCCGAATGAAGGAGGGTCAGAAGGATATCTATTACATCACTGGTGAGAGCAAGAAGGCCGTCGAGAACTCTCCCTTCTTGGAGCGTCTAAAGAAGAAGGGTTATGAGGTTTTGTTCATGGTGGATGCCATTGACGAGTATGCAGTCGGGCAATTGAAGGAGTATGATGGAAAGAAGCTCGTGTCTGCCACCAAGGAAGGTTTGAAACTTGATGATGAGTCAGAGGAGAAGAAGAAAAAAGAGGAAAAGAATAAGTCGTTCGAGAGCCTCTGCAAGACAATCAAGGAAATTTTGGGAGACAAAGTGGAGAAGGTAGTGGTTTCTGACAGGATTGTTGACTCGCCCTGCTGTTTGGTTACTGGAGAGTACGGATGGACTGCAAACATGGAAAGGATCATGAAAGCGCAGGCGTTGAGGGACAACAGTATGAGTGGTTACATGTCCAGCAAGAAGACAATGGAGATCAACCCTGACAACGGCATTATGGAGGAGCTGCGGAAAAGAGCTGAGGCTGACAAGAATGACAAATCGGTGAAGGATCTTGTGCTGCTACTCTTTGAGACCGCTTTGCTGACTTCAGGGTTTAGCCTTGATGACCCCAACACTTTTGCTGCCAGAATCCACAGGATGTTGAAGTTGGGTCTGAGCATTGACGAGGAGGAAACAGCTGCTGATGACACCGATATGCCACCCCTTGAGGACGATGGAAACGAGGAGAGTAAGATGGAAGAAGTCGATTAAGCATGAAGAGTGATGAGACTTTTGTGGATATGTGGGTGCGGTGTCTGACTATAATGGAAAGAAAGCGATTGAGAGTTGGGAGGAAAACCCCCAACCCCCCTTTATAGAGTCTACTGTTTTCTCTTAACATTTTCATTTTGTAGTTTGGTTTGGGGTGTTGGTAAATCTGTGGTAGCATTTCGTTAGACTGAAATTCTAATGCTGTGTACCCATTTCAATGTACCTCTTCAATGTTAACAATAGTTTTGGTTAGATTTCAACTTCTTTAGTGTGGTTATCGACATTTGTACTCTATTATCTCTGAATATTACTCTTTCGTTGTCAAGAGTTCCAATGGTACAAGAATTCCTTTGAAAACGAGTACTGTGGATTATTTGTACTTGGTGACATTATCCTTTACCATCGATTAGTTCTATCTATTAGAGCATCTGAAGTTGTATTATATATCGAATGTTGCCAATTTTGTGTTGCGACTCTAATGTTAATTTGTATTTATGGAATTTTATATAAATATATTAAGCTGAAATGTGTAATAAGGCATAAGGGAAATGAAATCTAACACTATTTTTTATCTTTTTTTATAGAAATTATAAGAATATCACTCTTTATCAATTTTTTTCCTTTTGTTTTTTTTTTTAAATTACAAGAATGCCATTTTCTTTTCTCAATTCTTTCTTGCTTTTTTTCTTTCAAATTGCAAAAATGCCACTCTCTCTCATCTATTCTCTTTTTCTTATAAATTACAAGAATGCCATCTCTCTCTTTCCATCTCTCTCTCCTTATAAATTACAAGAATGCCACTCTCTCTCCAATTGAGGGAGACCTCAACTTGGCAAGTCGATTGTTAGGGAATTGTAATCAATGTAGTCGAGTTCAAGTTGAGCCGAGTTCGAACTTTTGAGCTCAAACTCAAGTCTTTAATTCGAATCGAGCTTGAGCTAGACGACACCTTGATAACCGAGGAAAACCTTGGTTTGGCACCTCAGTCACTAAGGGAGATCTCGGCTCAGCACTTCAACAATTGAGGGAGACCTCAGCTCGGCACCTTGTCAACTAAGGGAGTCCTACACCTTGCCTGTTAGGGAAACCTCAACTACTTGAGAGACCTATAATCAAAGGTAGCAGAGCTCGAACTTCCGAGCTTTTGACTTGAGCCTAGCTTGAGCTCGAGCTAAAGTTTCTAATTTGAATCGAGCTCGAGCCTAATAGTTTATGAGCGAGACCCTGCAACGTAGGGCCCCCTCCGCTAGTATCTTCTCCGAGAATGGTTGAGAATAGTAAAAGCAATGTGCTGACCTAGCACATTGTTGCACTCAGCTTGCTTTGGAGCACATTGACGCACTCTCAATTTTTGGGATTTTTTCTATATATATATTAATAGAAAGCGGATGCTCTCTCTGTGGAGCAAATAGAATCTACTCATGCGAGTAGATTCCTACGTGAGAGTTACTGCATACCACGATGTGCTTTGCGCCGACCTCTTTCGCCAACATCAGCCCGGTTATTAGTGCCTCATATTCCGCTTTGTTGTTCAACACTTTGAATCCAAATCAGAGAGCGTACTCCATCTTCACCTTCGCTCGGTCCATTTAGTATGAGTCCAACTCCACTTCCTCGCTAATTAGACAAGTCATTGACATGGAAGATCCATAGCTCCTCATCCCAGGCTAGGGTGGTCTCTCTACCCAGAGTGAGTGCTATGTTAGTTGAAGCCTTTAACGTGTTGGTCGGCTCAGCCACCTCAGGGGTCGACGTGCTAAACGTACATTCAGCGACGAAGTCCTCCAAAACCTATGCTTTAATGGTTGGTCGCGGCTCGAACCAGATGTTGTATTCACTTAGCTCAATGGCCCACTTCGTCAACCGGCTTGAGACCTCGGGCTTCTGAAGGATGTGCCTCAGGGGTTTGTCAATTAGGATGATAATGGTGTAGGCTTGGAAGTAGGGGCGTAGCTTCCGAGCTGCAATACAAGTGCGAAGGCCAGCTTTTCGATGCAGGGCATCTGGTCTCAATTGACTGCAAAACATTACTGATATAATAGATGGGTCTTTGGACTTGGTCTACTTCTCTTATTAGTACCGAGATGACTACCACATCACTCGCAGAGAGGTAGAGTCTTAGCTCGTCTTCAGGTTCTAGTCAGGTTAATACCGTTGGTGAACTTAACTATTTTTTGAACTCGTCAAATGCGAGCTGACACTCCTTGGACCACTCAAGGTCCTCATTCTTTTTTATGGCCTTGAAGAAAGGTAAACATCGACCATCCGATTTAAACATAAAGCAGTTCAGGGCGGTAATTCGGCCAGTTAACCTTTGTACTTCTTTTATTGTCTAGGGCAGTCTCATATCTAAGATAGCTTGTATTTTATGTAGGTTGGTTTCGATGCCATGTTGGTTCACTATGTAACCAAGGAATTTGCTCGACGTGACCCCGAAGACACACTTGTTCGGGTTGAGTTTCTTGTTAAACTTTCTTAGAATTTAAAAAACGCAATTTAGATAATCAATTATAGAAGAAGAAAACTAGGTCTTCACGACCATGTCATCTACATAACATTCAACTTTATTGCCTATCAAAGGCTCAAAAACTTTATTTAGAAGTCACTGGAAGGTTACTCCAACGTTTTTCAATCCAAAGGACATGATTTTATAACATTGTAGCCCAAGTTTGGTTACAAAAGTTGTTCTCTCCTAGTCGGCTAAGTCCATCATAATTTGGTTGTAGTAGCCAGAATAGGTGTCCATGAAGCTCAGCAACTTGTGCCCCAAGGTCGTGTCTACTAGGCAATCTATTTTGAGAAGGGGGAAGACATCCTTTGATTAGGCTCTGTTGAGGTCAGTGTAATCGACGCACATGTGCCACTTTTCATTGGCTTTCTTTATGAGTACAAGATTTGCTACCCAACTCAGGTATTGGACCTCTCTAACAAAATCTGCTGCAAGGAGCTTCCCAACCTCCTCATCTACTATCCTTCAATTCTCTAGGGCGAGGTTTCTCTTTGCTTGACTGGCCTGACTAAAGGGTCCACATTAAGTTTGTGAGTAATTATGCTAGGGTCAATATTGAGCATCTCTTCTATCGACCATGCAAAAACATCTAAATTTTGAAGTAAAAAACTTACCACTTGTGACCAAAGTGGTTTATTTAGGCATGCCGATCTGAAGAGTCTTTGTGGGCTCGATATTAGAGACTGAGACTTAGACCATATCCTCCATCGGTACATCTTGCTCATTAGTGTGATTGGGGGGCAGCTCCAGCTGGTCGCCCCGTACTATCACCACTCTGTACTTCATCGGGAACTTCATTGAGAGGTAGTAGGTCGACACCACCGCACGAAGGGCATGCAAAATGGGCCAACCTAAGATGGCATTGTAGGGGAACGAGGTGGCGACCACGAGGAAGGCATGCTCAAACTGGATAGTGTTGGGCTCTACTCCTACTGCCACTAGCACTTTGATCCTACCGAGGGGCTTCACCATGTCTTCTCTAAAACCGACTAGAGGCAGGTTTGTTAGCTGAAGGTCCTTCTGATCCAGCTCCATCTTCTTGAAAGCCTCTAGGAATAAAATGCCCATGGAACTGTCTGAATCCACCAAAATCCGCTTTACCTTAAAGTCTTTAATCACCATTTTGACAACGAGGGCGTCATCATGTGGATACTAGATCTTGCGAGCGTCATCCTCAGTGAAGTATATGGCTACCTCCAGTGGAGGGCACTTCGGGGGGTTCTTGTCCTCGTGCTCCAGCTCTCGGATTGCATTCTTGCCTACCGCCATGGTATAACCTACTACTATAGACCCACCGATAATCATGTTGATCACCCCACGAATTGGTATCTTCGATGCTGGTGGATCCTGGGGTGGTTGCTCTCTGTTGTTCCGCCTGCTCGACTCCGGTGCATCTCTTCGCTGCTCTGCAGGTCAGTGGTCTCTATCCTCGTATTTGATGAACTGTTTAAGGTAGCCACGGTAGATCACCTCCTCGATCTCATCCTTCAAGTTATGGCATCTCTCCATATCATGCTCGATGTCCTGGTGGAAGTGACAATACCGGTTTGGGTTGCGGTTGGTAGGGTCTCCTCTCATCCTAGGGGGCCATTTGACATAGCTAGTGTGAGCTCTGGGAAACTTATGACCGGATCAAAGAGTTGGAGTTGCCACCCATTTTTTAAAAGAAATGGGCCATCATTTTCAGGTTTGAAAGGTTCAATTTAAGTCTTTGATAGTGACTCCATTTTCCATGGGAAGGGCACACAACCAAGAGATTTTGAGTTTTAAGGATTGGGAGAGGGAAGGTATTAGGCACCTTTCTCTCTAAGCTGCTATAGCAGCCCCATACGGGGTTGTTCATGTTAGACAGTTTGTATGCCCTTAGCTCCAATCAGTTTTGATGTACTTTAGACATTTAGTGTAAATGAATAAAGTGCATGTTTGATTCATGTTGTGTGGTATGTTTCGGTGTAAGACCCTTAAACTGGACACTTAATGAGACTCGTGTTAGTTTAAAATGTTCACAGCCAGTGGGTCGGTTTGGGGAAACCTATCCTGATAAAGCTGCCACTGATGTGCCGCCAAGTTGGTTGGGGAGGCTTGTCTCAGCCGCCAGGGTGAGACCCGAGGTACATGTAGTGAGGGTTCAACTTGAAACCCTGAACCGGACCAGATTTCCAGTATTGCCCTAAACCTTGGTGATGAGTGGGCAAAACTGGAAAGTTACACCTGACCCCTAGACTCGATTATGATACTGCACTAGGTGGCGGATTGGACTGTCTTTGATAATGCCAATCAGTGAGATCCTTAGAGGGGGTCAAAACCTAGGTATGTTGGGATGATTCATGAACCCATCTGAGTGGGTGATCATAGTGACAGGATCAGCCCCTTTGTCGAACAAAGGTAATGATCGAGGGTGCACTCTCTCTGATGGAAACCAAGAGTACCGACAGCCGATTTCAACCGTTGGAAATTTGTTTTGCAAAATATATTTATAATGATATAATATATATGTACGGTTTCAACTCGTTTGCAAAAAGGTTTTAATCCCTAGGGTCCATCCTAGAGGAGAGTGCAACACTGTGCCTTGCAGTCGAGGGAGAGGTTTTCTCTTGTTGGGCAGTGTTTGGATCATTATGGGCTGAGAGGTTAAGTGTAAGGCCATTTAGGGTTATACCTGATGGGATAATCTTGCATTTGCCCACAGTCCCTGGGTTTTTATAAGATGGCTTGGCCCAGGGACCACTTAGTGTATGTGTTAGGCCCATAGAGTTCATGTGATGGGCTCAAGGGGTTCACTGGGCTTTCTAGTGAATTCGGCTAGGCCTTGTAACAA